CCCCATTTTCATTCTCAATTTTATCAGACCTGGGACTATTATACTAACGGGATTAGAATTAGGTTTTCCTTATGATATGACCGAATTACCGGACTACACGAGATTTTTCGAAACCTGCGAGGATTTGGAGTGAAAGATGTCAACGGCTGTGTAAATTTACGGAATAATTGTAAACGATCGTCAAAAACGTTTTCATTGTTAAGTATTAAACAAAACAAAATATAATTTGTTATTTAGAATGACACATAAAAGATAGATTTTCAGGTTGTGGAGTGATTTAAAGCGTTGTGGAATGGTCACTGATTTATGGCTCCCATTTTTATTTATTATCCTTTGCATTTAGGCACACTTCTGTAACGAAATATATTCTTATATCACTAGAATAAATCGACAAAGTTAAAATTTATTATTTTTTCTTATGAAAGAAATCATGCAATTTAATGAATATACCATCGTCTACTAAGAAAACAATTTTTGATGAACACACATAATATGTAACGAAATTATTAATTTTTAAGTTTAAATATTTAAAAGAAATATATAATGTCCCCGATCAGACCTATTTGCATTTACAAAGTGAAAACGCGACCAGAAAGTATATCCTGGTTTTCTCAGAATATGATATTTTGCTGTTACTAAGCAACTTTTGCAGAAAGATAAATGTTCCATTTGTCAAGTATGTTGTATTATAGCAACTTGTCCTTCCATCTTAACATACATTAATTTACAAGAGGTAATTTATTTTGCTTTCTGACTTACTAAAATATATGAAGCAGAAGATATGGTAAACATTTCAACACATTATTAATTCAGTAATTGTGATAACGGAAAACCAACGACAGTCATTTAAAACCCAAATACATTATCTAATTGGGATGTCAATGACAAACTCGAAACTTACAAAAACACTTGTCGCTCGTAAACGAGAACCAACCTGAACTCAACTTAAAGTGTTTTAGTAGCTTACCCTGGAAAGCCTGAGTAAATTATTGGCCTTAGTATACATTTGTATCAGGATTCCTTTTTTCCAGTTTAATTTTCTTTTTTTCACTATTTTTAACATAACATGTTAACGGACATATTTCAATACTCAAACGTCTACACAAGAAATACGCTATACTTTACTTTAAGGTGGTACCTAACACTACAGGGAGATAACTCTGTAAAAATCAGCTAAACGTTTTAATTACGTTGTATTGTTAAGGAAATATTGAGCTTCTCAATGATCAAAATTAGTGTTTGTCAAACTGCTTTATAACCAACGAAATTTTTCTGATAAAGTGGTTGGTTCAAATTGTTTGAAATTTTTATATTTTTGTCAAAGGGTCAAAGTAAACATTTTGTCAAAATTTTATGAAAATTAAACGAGCCAAATTAATATAAGTCAAGGTGTTGGGTACCACCTTAACGTTAATTCCCTTGTTGCATATTGTATTTGTAACATGACGCTACCAATGACAACGTTTATATAGTTATATTGTACTATGGTTGTTTACAATTAATATCTTCCGTGAGGAGTGAAACTGGTAGGAATACTGTAAACGCTTTTTAATTCAACGATATGTCTGGATTTTCTCCTTTTAGCTCACCTGACCCAAAGGGCCAAGTGAGCTTTTCTCATCACTTGGCGTCCGGCGTCCGTCGTCGTCGTCCGTCGTCGTTAACTTTTACAAAAATCTTCTCCTCTGAAGCTACTAGACCAAATTTGACCAAACTTTACCACAATCATCATTTGGGTATCTAGTTTAAAAAATGTATCCGGTGACCCGGCCAACCAACCAAGATGGCCGCCATGGCTAAAAATAGAACATAGGGGTAAAATGTAGATTTTGGCTTATATCTCTGAAACCAAAGCATTTATAGCAAATCTGACGGGGTAAAATTGTTTATCAGGTCACGATCTATCTGCCCTGAAATTTTCAGATGAATCGGACAACCCGTTGTTGGGTTGCTGCCCCTGAATTGGTAATTTTAAGGAAATTTTGCAGTTTTTGGTTATTATCTTGAATATTATTATAGATAGAGATAAACTGTAAACAGCAATAATGTTCAGCAAAGTAAGATCTACAAATAAGTTAACTTGACCAAAATGGTCAGTTGACCCCTTAAGGAGTTATTGCCTTTATAAACCATTTTTCGTAAATTTTTGTAATCTTTTACAAAAATCTTCTCCTCTGAAACTACTGAGACAAATTTAACCAAACTTGTCCACAATCATCATTAGGGTATCTAGTTTAAAAAATGTGTCCGATGTCCCCGCCTGCGAACCAAGATGGCCGACATGGCTAAAAAATAGTACATAGGGTAAAATGCAGTTTTTGGCTCATATCTCTGAAACCAAAGCATTTAGAGCAAATCTGATGGGATAAAATTGTTCATTAGGTCAAGATCTATCTGCCCTGAAATTTTCAGACCAATCAGGTAACACGTTGTTTGGTTGCTGCCCCTGAATTGGTAATTTAAGAAAATTTTGCCGTTTTTGGTTATTATCTTGAATATTATTGTAGATAGAGATAAACTGTAAACAGCAATAATGTTCAGCAAAGTAAGATCTACAAAAAGTCAACTTGACCAAAATGGTCAGTTGACCCCTTAAGAAGTTATTGCCCTTTATAGTCAATTTTCAACCATTTTTCGTAAATTTTTGTAATCTTTTACAAAAATCTTCTCCTCTGAAACAACTAAGACAGATTTAACCAAACCTGTCCAAAATTATCATTAGAGTATCTAGTTAAAAAAATGTGTCCGATGACCCCGCCCGCGAACCAAGATGCCCGACATGGCTAAAAAATAGTACAATGGATAAAATGCAGTTTTTGGCTCATATCTCTGAAACCAAAGCATTTAGAGCAAATCTGACTGGGATAAAATTGTTCATTAGGTCAAGATCTATCTGCCCTGAAATTTTCAGACCAATCAGGCAACACGTTGTTGGGTTGCTGCCCCTGAATTGGTAATTTAAGAAAATTTTGCCGTTTTTGGTTATTATCTTGAATATTATTATAGATAGAGATAAACTGTAAACAGCAATAATGTACAGATCTACAAAAAAGTCAACATGACCAAAATTGTCAATTGACCCTTTAAGGAGTTATTGCCCTTTATAGTCAATTTTTTACAATTTTCATAAATTTTGTAAATTTTTGTAAATTTTTACAAAATATTTTCCACTGTAACTACCGGGCCAAGTTCATTATAGATAGAGATAATAGTAAGGAGCAAGAATGTTCAGTAAAGTAAGATCTACAAACACATCACCATCACCAAAACACAATTTTGTCATGAATCCATCTGTGTCTTTTGTTTAATATGCACATAGACCAAGGTGAGCGACACAGGCTTTTTAGAGCCTCTAGTTTATTATATATATTGTATTATAGCCCTTGAATGAGGTCATTACGACGAAGTCCGAGGTCGATTTACTTCTTTATGTCGATATATCCTCGTATTGACCTCATACAAAGGCAACAATTATGATATTATTATTTTCCATACGCATGAAGTAGAGCAGAAATTCATTTAATTGGTTGTTATGATTGTGTCACAAAACATTAAGTTTTTTAAATTTCAATTCATAGATATTTTAAAAATAACTTTGCAATATCATTTTTGAACGAATGAAATTAGTTAGAATTTACCAAATAATGATATATCTAAGTGACGTTTAAAAAAAAGGAAACTAATGTGTTCCTGTTTAGTGCCATCATTTTGCTTTCATTTATGTATGTTATATTTTCAATAAAACACATCTTTTCTGACTTGGTCGTCATTAAAAAAAGAATGTGTACAGTTTTAAATCTCGGATAATTTTCCTGTATCAAACAGTTTCTATAGATACACGCTAATTCGAATATAACAAATTAAATGATCAAGTTATCTGTACGCAAATATGGATTGAGTTAATAACTTAGTTTTCTTTATTTTGTTTAAAAGTTGACGTTTGCTACTACAATGAATATGAAATTTCGTAAGAGTTTTCAAATATTTTGAATTTCAGCCTATATATACTAATTGTTACTTGTACAGACATTTTCATTATCAATTTCTATTTTATGTAGATTTCTGACACGACAAATATCGAAATACCATGAACATATGTAAAGTGTTTGCAAAACAAGGGTTACTTGTAGTAGAGGGCTGGTATCTTCTTTCCACAGCCTATCATGATAAGGGAGAATTTGTCTTTTAATGACGCAGTTAAATGGATAACTGCCCACTTCTGATCGTACGTCCATATTACAAGAGCATTTTACAATTCTTAATTCTAAATTTACTGAATACTTTATCAATGAGAATTCTTTAAAGGAAACTAATAGCGTCTACTTTTATTTTTTTGATCGCATCTGTTAAGGATTGCTTCTTACAAAGAAAGGTTGGAACCAATTGTTTAAATGGTACACTTCAGTAATCTGTTGGATATATAGTTTTACGGACGTCAGCATTATTTTAAAGCCTTAATAGACAAGATTTTTATGATTTAACTGCTTATGTCAAAAGACGATTTTCGATCATTTGACTAGTTCATAGATCTTGTGCTGCTGATAGTTTTTGTCAATTATAGTTTCTCTTTATGTATTATATTATTCGGAAATAACAATGAATACTTGGATTTCGGTATCTATGTTATACTTTTTTTCCAAGATAACAGCAAAACCTGCAAACCCGGACCAGTTTTGCACAATAGTCAGAGGTGTAACCTGTTATACTAGGAAAAAAAACTTGACAATGTAAATAAGCTGAATTTTAAGGGGGAAAAAAGAAGAAGATTATGTATCGTATGTGCTTTAACGCGTATAAATTTCAAGAATCAAATTTATATTATTTTGAAATTAGAGAAAATGATCAGACGTGATTTGAATATATACTAGACGCGTCTTCACTTAAAAAAAAGCCGGATTATGTGAATTACATACAAAAATCGATTCAAACAGGTCACTTTGCCTACTGTGTTAATTTGGAAGAGGAAAAAATAATAAAACATGATTTTTGTTTGTTTGCAGAGAAAAATATTTGGTTGGCGTTACGGTTTAAAAAAAATACGTTGGAACTTTCATGCAAAGTCTTGAATCCAAATCTCTCGATCAACTTTTACAGCACCCATGAACATTTGATTGGACAGTGCCTTACATTTCCTTCCGCCGAATGTTATTGTTTTCGGAATTATAGCAAAATAGCTTTCGATAAATATACAAATGAAACCCTATTGACGTTATGGAGATTACCTAACGTAAATGGAAACTGGACATGTCGTCATGGAGTTAGTAGCAATGATCCATCTGCAACAGTTGATATTTACCTAGGTATATACATGTTTGTTGAATAATATGACAATTGAATTTGATAACAATTCTATTTTTAGTTTCTTTGACAAAAAACAAAATGAAAACTTATTTATCAAAACTGTACAAAGATTTGGTACGTTCAAATTTAAGTACATGAATTGTCGCTACATATTAAAACAAAGTAAAAATAGGATATACACTTCCGAATATAAAAAGCAAAGGAGCAGTACTTTTGTTAATGTTTTTCATCTCAAAGTCGAAATAAGACCTTTATCTTAGAGCAAAAAACACTCATCAATGCAATTAAAATACGACTCACAACATCGGTTCAGGGAAAATTATTTCTATAGATGTCATTTACGCGTCACGCAATTTTTTTTGCGTGAAGTGCATAAAATCATTTTCATTTATCTGGCCACATTTAAATGTTCCTGTCCGAAATAAGTTACTTGTTTCGACTAATTCGAGAGATTAAACATGACTATGTTACTTTATTTACAATGAGTTGATCCGAATTGTAAACATAGCGTTTTTCTAATACAGAAAAATCAATGCTTTTAATTTGTGAACAAATAAATTTTTTTATCAATGTTGTATATTCTATAGCGTTACTATTCTACACATATGTTGCCGTATTTTAATTATCTGTCTTTTCTGTGACAGACACTATGGCTAAACAGATTGATCAGTTCAATCAAAAAATTCAATTTTTTTTATTTTTCAGGAAATGTATGTAAAGCAGAAGAGGGTTATAGACATGTTTCAGTTATTGTCTTGTGTATCGTATTCGTCGTCATACTATTTTGTGTGTGTGTTTACATCTGTAAAAGACGAACATGTATGTATTTTATTATGTGTTGTTCATTTACCAACTGACACACTATATGGTATTTAAAAATTACATTGTTCCTTTAATTATAATGAGGAAGGGTATACATCTATATTAAACGATACTAACCAAATAATCGGCAAGGCTGTAAACGCTAGTAGTCAATACCCACCGAGTTGTTTTCTAATTACGTGTTCACCAATAATCATAAATATATATGTGAAATTCAAAATGACCTCTCGATCAAATTTCATAGATGAACTTGGCCCTAAAAAAATCTTCTTTCATTTTTAATTTTTGTGTGGAAGCTGAGGACTGTTGATCGTTTTTTACAGAAAGATAGGATTTTTTTTTTAAAAAAAACACCCGAACAATAAAATTTGAATGAAATGTGCTTCAAGGCATACAATAATGGCATATGTTAGGTCATTTCTCCCCCTGATTAAAATGTAAACGAAAGATAGTATATTTATAAAAATAAAAAGATGTGGTATGATCGCCAATGAGACAACTCTCCATAAGAGACCAAATGATACAGAAATTAACAACTATTGGTAACTGGAAGGCTTCAACAATGAGTAAAACCAATACCGTATTTTTATTCATTTGATACATGTAGTTACCATGTTTGTTTCCAATTGTGTATTCCTTTTTTCAATTTTCCATCTTAAATCGATTTTAGTCAGATTAATCCTTTTACTGTAAACCGGAAAACGTTCTGAACTACAAAGTAAAGTTCGAAACAAATAATGTGAAGTTTTGTTAATTTTTCGCTACAATAAAGGGACATAATGTGAGCTAAAATTCAAAGCCCAAAACATTTTAAAACACTTTTAAACACGCCAAATTTGATCAAATTCGTGTGTAGTACTTTAAAATACAAAAGTAGGCAATCTTATTGATTCACACTCTATAGGAAATAGATTTTTTACATTTAAATCCCGCCTTTGTGTTATTGTGCTATGGTCATTTTTTGTATTATTGTTTTTTTCATTTTTGCTTGTGTGCTTTGTCTATATGTCATTTTGTTTTTCTTTGTTGACATATTTGTTTGTTTTATAGTGATTAAGATTATATCACAATGTTGACCGCTGTATTCATATTTTTGACATTTTTACCTATTATGTCTGTTGGTTTTGTAAACACATTGTTGTTAATATAATGGATTTTTTTTGCGAATAGCTATAAAACCAGGTTTAATCCACCATTTTCTACATAAGGAAATACTTGTACCAAGTCAGGAATATGACAGTTGTTTTGCATTCGTTTGATGTGTTCGAGCTTTTGATTTTGCCATTTGATAAGGGACTGTCCGTTTTGAATTTTCCTTGGAGTTCGGTATTTTTGTTTTTTTTACTTTTTACATATACCTTTTACTCTATAAAATTACCAAATATTCGTATTTTGTATAGAGGATCAGCCACGTTCCTTAAAACTTTAGGGGGTTTTGTTGGGGGGGGGGGGGTGTTGATATTTTAGATATTTTTGAAGTATTCCTTGTACGTTACATAGCAATATTTCTAGTTTAATAAGCAACGTAATGAAGGGAATACAATATCCTAACATCACTGAAGAGACATTAATTGTCGAAATCCGGATATGGTGTACAAATTTTTGCACCTCATGTTTGCGGTATACCATCTTTTCCGCAAGTTTATTGTTTTCTGTTTGGTAATAAATTATTATAAGATCCATTTTGTTACATCTGGTGATCCGTTTATTTGGCAATCGCCAATGGCAGTCAGCAGGGTTTAAGAACATCAGTTGTTCGACCTGCTAGTCAAATGCGTTTTGTTAAAATATATTGTTTCACTTTTTTGGTCTTTTGGAAAATGTTGTTTGTGCTGTATTTAGACCCCTCTACCAAGAAATTTGTTTTGCATGCACACGTATAAAAATTGCGGTTTTTATCCAACGCAATCATAGGTTTGAACGTTGTTTTCAATTTAGACTTGTATATATATATATATATATATATATATTATATATATATATATATACATTATATATATATTATATATATATATTATATATATAATTCTAAATTGAAAACATATATATATATATATATATATATTCATAGGTGTTAGAAGAAGAGAAGAAGGATATCCTGCAGAGAGGACGCATTTAGGTAGTTGTTATAGAATATTGCAAAAGACAAAGCTATCTAGAAAACTTCATGCAATAATAATAATAATAATAATAATAAAAGTAAAAAAAAAAAAAAAAAAAAAAATATCAGATAGACGGATTTGTCCTCCATTTTTAATCTATATTAGGAATATTCAAGGGATTGTGTTCCCAATTAATATTTTCAAAGCCATTTCTTTGCCTTATCTATAAATAAAATGAATGTTATTTCTCACCAGATTTACATTTGATATAAGCAAACGATGGGTGCCAATGGTGGATCTACGTATTTATATGCATAACAATTGTAAGCGCCTTTCTCACAATTATAACGACTCCCAAGGGTGACTTTGGAATAGAAATATGATCACTACAGGTCTTCTTCCAACCGACAGAATGGTGACGTTAAATCCGATGCCTCGTGTTAAGAAAGTGCCACGCTCTTGCACGTTAAGAACCATTGCAACAACTCTTTGAGGAGTGCGTAGATAGCCTGTTGCAAGGCAAGATTTCTGTCCTATCCAATTTGCCTCTTTTCCAATGCCAGTGACCTTCATCCCGGACTGCCTCTATCACAGGACCTTACTTTGTATTTATTGTAAATTTGTTCTCGTCCTGAACATGCATGAAATATTTGCCACTTGACGATAATCAACCAATCAAACAATCACAATTATAACGTTACGTCACAATACCCCCTTGCATCGTTATTTAAATCCACTTCCTGAAAATATCAATGGACAATGCAAACGTTAGAACAATCAATATGGTATTTTTCAGTATGATTTTCTTTAGAAGAACGCTCTGGTAATCTTGGTATATCATACTATCCTCGAGTTTGCTTAAAATAGAAGCAAAGACACATAAGGGATATTCAAACTCATAAATCGAACACGACTTGATAATGTCTTGACAAATAAGGAAAACGACCCAAAGCAAAAATGTAAAAAACAAAACAAAACATAGAAAAATAAAGACTAACTAGCACGAACCACAAACAAAACCGGGGGTGATTTCAGGTGCTCCTGAAGGGTAAGCATATCTTGCTCGACATGTGACACCGTCATGTTGTTCCTGTTAGTACAAATCAGGAAATAAGCTAATTGGGTAGATCACATTAGAGAAAAAAAGAACGGGATTGTGGTTAGAACAGTTATAACGTTCACTGTCAAATATCACTTGCATGTTCAGAGCGATCAAGTTGAACTGTGTTCAATTTCTTTGTAGGTCAAAACCAAAGACTTTAAAATGGATGGTTTTTCGTCTTTATAATCAAACTGCCAATAAATTAGCATTTTGTCTATTTAAAAATTTTGAGAGTACTGTTGTTGCTCATATCTAATTTAAAAAAAAAAGGTTTTTAAAATAAAAAAAAAACGTACTAATTTGGCATATTTGATAGAACAACTAGACATATTTGACGGAAATATGTCTAATATTTCTATCAGATATGTCAAATTGATAGAAAATGTCACTTTGTTAATAGTAATTTTAGTAGTTTCTGCAGAATTTCCTTAAATGGAAAAAGTTTGAAACCTAGAGCAAATATGCAAGACAAATTTTTAAATTAAAAAGTTTAAATACTGATATAATATTACAATATTTTATTTGACACTTATTTTGTTCGAATTCATACTGCCATGTTTGCTGGTTTGCTTAAACTATCATATCCTGATCCATTAAGTTTGAAAGTTTCTCTTATATGACATGAAACTTACTATTTTCTTTTGATATTTTCCATTTTGTTTTGTAGATGTTCCTGCATAATTGATAAAATGGCTCGACGAATATACCGGAGGAAAATTAAATACTTGATTTTACATATCAAAATTGCAATTCTTTTGTTTAAGAACTAATATGAACAAGGTCATGGATAAATTCCCAAATAAGAATTTAAATCTTAATCATGTAATATTTTAATATAAGAAATACCTTTACCGTTTTTTATAGTATGTGACCAAAAAATGAAGATTTTATTTTAAAAGAGACAATGAAAATGCAAATTATATATAATTATTATCGAAGCTAAATTCATAAGATGAAAGTTGAAAAACAGTGATACAATGGAAGTATATACATTGCTACGACTTTTTTGATAGTTTTGAAATGCTTGTTAGTTACACCATGCGTGTTCCTTTTTCTCAAATCGTCATTGTTCCATTAAATAATATAAAACATGTTCGAATATCTGTTCCTAAAAGTTATTGAGTATTTTCATTCTAGTGCAAAACGTGATTAGTTATAAAACTGTTTTTCATATTTTTTTAATGCGTTGTATTGTACGTAGGTATGTCAATCATATATTTCAATACAGTGCATTAACAAAAAATTTCTCGGTGACCATGCTTAATCTTAGAAATTATTTCCTTTCTGCTACATTGTACAGACCGTTAAACATAATTTATTTTTATACTACGCATAGAAAAATATAAAGAAATTCTTTTCCCACAGAATTCATTAGTTTTTTTCCTTAAAATTCCTGCATCAAGCGCAAAACACAATGATATATGGATATTTTCCATTATTTGATGTGTTATGCATTCTTTTCATTGATGAATTGCGGTTATGCTAAAATCAAAGTGATATTTAATTATGATTAACGATGTTCTTTTCTTTAATATTCAATATAACCCTTGAATTAAAGCATTCGTTAAATGAATACCATTATTTGCACACCCTTTGTTTGTCAAATGAAATGCCCAATCTGTAGCATAAACGGAACCATTAAATAAAAACACATTGCTTAACTTATAAACACAGAAATCAGGTTAGACTTTTAACATGTTCAAAAATTGGCTACATTTTGAAGACTTCTGTTGGTAACATCATGTAATAACAAAGTATCATATTAAGTAGAGGTATTTGTCGTGATATATTGCTATCCCGGGAAGAAGTTTCAATTATTGCAAGTTTTAAGGGAAGTGTCCTTTTAAATAGAATCTCCATGGCTTAATATGTTTTTTTTTCAAAAGAAATGTTTGAATATTGGTTTGTTTGGACAATTTAGTTGATTAGGAAATTGAAAACATCGAAATTTGAACAAAAAAATGGTATCGAAATTAAAAACGAATATTTAAACATTTTGTGGCAACTTAAGGGATGATTATACTAAACTGATCAATCAAACCAATTCCAGGTCTACTTTTCACTTGTTGTTGGTTACGAACGAAATATAAGCTGTTTTGTCAAAAATGATTAGACAGAAGCATCGATAAAAGCCAGATTGTGACATCAATCTATTAGAATCCTAAATTTCTATAATAAATAAAATATCACAAGAAAAAAATATACATGTCAAAAATGTTACGTAAATGAACATACCACATGGATTTCTGAGGATGAGTTTCAATTGGTCGATTTGAAGAAATTCCTTCTTAGTATTTGGTTTATATATTTTAACTAAGCTATTTTTTTCTTTTCTATAAATGAGCTTGGTGGACAATCAAAATTTTGATAATTGTATCTGTATCAGAGATATATTTTTTTATTTCTCAATAAACAAATAATATAAGGTATAGCATGTTGTATTTCGAAAAACGAAACTCTAAATCTTTCGACCCACTTTAATCGTCTATAATGATCTTATGTTAACTTATACAATAAAGAAATGTGGTATGTACTCTTAAAAAGATATAACCTGAAACAGCAACTTTGACCTGAGGCAAACTTTAAAAACTGGAGAAAGGATATGTAACTCATATTCAGTCGTTCAATCAATTTTCAAATTGCGGACAATGTAATACTTTTCGGACATATTATTTTACAGCTGTTAAATCTTTTTCATAATGCCAATTGTCCAATATTTGCCTGCTTAACACTTACAATTATAAGGATTGTAAACCCTAAGACATAAAATATTACAAAATACCCTACTCCAAGTTAAGGTAAATTCAAAACGGGGGAGGTCCAAAGAATTTGACAAAATCAAACACTCGACTATATCAATCAACGGAACAAATTGGAAAACAACAGTCATATTCCTGACATCGTACAGGCAATTACAGGGGCGAATGGTGAACTAAACCTGGGATTATAGCTAGTTAAACCTCCAACTTGTTTGACAAACGATATAATTGGTGAATGCGACAATAATTGGGATATAGCAGCCAAAACTATGTAAATATACATTACAGATATACAGCACAAGTAACTTAAGCATTAAATAACATTAAACGTAGTAGCAATACTTTAAAATTGTCCGTTTTAAATATTTTTATATTTGAATCGGCTTTTTGAGATTCTGATTCCAGCGGCGCCACTGATGAGTCTTATGTAGACGAAACACTGGCCTAATGAATCAAATTATAAGTTTGGTATCTTTGACGAGTTTTTCTTAAAAACTATAGATACTGATTCTAATGCAACAACGTTTGCAACGTTCATTTTGATTAGATAACGTCACAAATTTTCATGGCATCAATTCACAATTGATGCTACGAAAACGTACACGCAAACGCAGACGACGTATGACATGTTTTAAATGTACGATCTGACGTTATTTACTGTCAGTTACATTAAAATGTTGATAAAAATATTAAATTGTAAGCTCCGACGCTATCAATTGGAGATTTGATGGTCGCAAATACCCCGTTTACTGGCTCCGCTAACGCGTAGCCAGTAAACTTAATTTGCGACCATCAAATCACCAATTGATGCCGTCGGAATTTAAAATACAATACAGTTATATCCTAATTCGTCGGAAATTGACTGAAAATGACTTGATTTTTTAAAAAGATTAATGCTGCTTCAACATAATCAATTTAAAGAATACAATTGATGTTTCAGACAATAAATTATTGACTCGTTATTAAACGATGATAAAGATTTTATTTCCGTAACCAACAACAAATGAATATGAATGAGTACTTCATTACATGCATATTGAAGATTTATGGAAATCAAGTACTACCTTTTTTCTTGTCGTAAATCAACACAGCCTAATGGTGTAGTAAAATGATATTTTTCATTGCATCTAAGAAATTTAATAAATGGAAGAACCAGTTTTTCTTCCGAACCAATCCTATTATTTTTCATATATTCGTATTCAAAAAGAGTGAAATATTAAAAAACACAATGCAAATAAACTCATCATAGATACCAGGATTGAAATTTTGTATTTGCGCCAATATACAATTCAATGTATAGAAATTACGTTACGTTTAAAAAACAAATTATTCGAGTTAAACTTTAAGATAAGATATATTTTACGAAACATCTAATTTGTTGAATTAAAGACTGATCTACCAATTACAACTTCTGAATAATTTAATTTTCAGCAGGGGTTACGGAGTATTTTACTATCATATTCCAGATATCACATATTAGCGTATTTTGTGTGCATTCTTTATTGTGTCCGTCCAATAAATTGTTTTTTTATTTGATTGTATTTCCTGATTGGTAATGACCATGCGCTTTTTTAAAATTTAGGATTTATTCAAGTAAAAAGTCATTTATTGTGGGTTTTTCTCGACTCCAGCTTCTTCTACCATAAAAAGTGCGTTCTAGTAACTTCAACTTACTTATTTTGTTCAACTGATGATTATGATATCAAGAATTTTAAGATAATAAGTACTTTTACTTTGTTAATCCATCTCAAAAATCAGAACGGAGATTTTTGCCATGATTTTAACCACAATCGAAATATTAACAAGTTCTCCGAACGAATAATTTGTTTAAAGTGTTATCATAATATTCATCTTATCCTTACATGTGACTGATAACTAATTTGTCTGATTGATAAATAGTTTCACTTTCACTTTTTTGTTTATTGCTTTTTTCTTCGGTATGTGCGTCAACAATGCAAAAATAAAGAATCGAAAAATTTTCATAACATTGATAAGACCTTACTAACATTTTTCTTATATTTTTTGTGTGTTATAAACATTCTTAATGATTAAAGAATTTGGCGTTTTATTTTCGCCCGGCTGCTTATTCACAATAGTAAACAATATAGTAACGATGTCTTAACACGTGCAAAAGCATCCCTTTGATAAATTGAATACAGTTTTAAAAGTTTGTAGCTTATTATTTTTTTATTTAACAATTTCTTATAATAGAAAAATACGAAGCCAAATAATCACAAGAGACCACATAACCAAGATGTAAGCAACTATAGGTCCCTGTATAGTTTTCAACAATAAACAAACCCTATACCGTATAGTCAGCTATAACTGACTCTCAACGACGGATTAATATACGAAACAATAAAAGAAGAACAAATACGACCACTGAATCACAATGCACATACATAATGTAACAGGTTGATATACAGTAAAGAACCGTATTATGATCTTTGTATGTCTCTTTTTTTATAGTATTTAAAATTAAGCTAATGGCGTTTTATTTCTTTTATTGATATTTACATGTTCTCTCATCATGCAACACCATAATAACAATTAAAAATGCAGTGTTACGTATTAAAGAACCACATCAAGCTACCAAGCTCAATCGGAGGATACATAATTTGGTCGACTAACCAATAAGAATAAGAATAGGAGTTACATAAATACGCTCATAGAAATGTCCGTCAGAGATGCGATATCAAAAATTACGCTGAAGACCAATGGATGACCTACCTTGTTGATGCATACGTTTTAACCAGACTTAACCACTTCATCTACTTTATATATTTGGTGTCTGGCAAAAAAAAAACCGGTTCTTCCCTCAGAGGGACTCGAACCCTTGCTTCTGTGACATCGTGGCAACACCGCCTGCACCGTGTACAGCGCCTTAGACATAGACCACTCGACCTCCTAGACTACATAAAAATATAGCTTTCGGTCGTCGGCTTTATCTAGGGTTGTAACACAGTACATAATGTATAGTGGCAAGTAGATAGTGTACTTTTCAGATCAGCTATTTTGTCTGTCGTATTACCATGCCGCCACATCAAATTTTAATTGTATCATACACGTGTAAACATGTGACAACTTTATGACAGACATTCTCCATCGGACATATGGACATATATATAACAAAAGAAATACGTCAGCAAAGTGTTTGCAATAATATCAAAGGAATAAAGTTACATGACTTCCAATTATTCCCTAAGGAACAAAGTATGAGTATCAAACATTCAAGTAGGTATTGCTGTAACATAACATAGAACTATATTTAACCTTCAACGAAGACAAGTGTTTTTAACTAAAGATCGATCAACAAAAACAACCAAAACCATCTATCAATCGAAATCAGACTAACAAAAACGTAAGAACCATCCAAGTAAAACAGTATGTTAGAAGTTTCATTCAGATGTTCATTCGTTCGTTTAACCGGCATACCATTTCATAATACATGCAGAAAAAGAAAAAAAAGGATTCATTACAAAATTAGTTCAAGATATCACAGGTTCATATAACCGACGGCGCGACCTAAATATTTATTATACCACCGTCTAAACATGTTATCCCGTACATATCACAAAACGTTTAACACACTAAAAATGTTAAGACCCCATAAATGAAGAATTAACTGTTTGTCAAATTCATGACTCATCTTTAACATTCAACAGCTTGATCGGCATTACCAGTTACACTTTGGTTTTGAATTTTGAAAGGGCATGATGGCTAACATCAATCGCTTATTTATCTTTAGAAGCTGTACAGGACTGGTGAATCTATTTTACAAACGAATAATCATTTCCAAAGAATTGTCAGTTTTTGACATATCTGATCTTTCTTACCAAATGTACTCACAAAACGATGTCTGCTACATAATACATATATACAGAATAGCTTTACTCATCTAAGTTCAGGGATGAGAGACTGACAGAAGTGGCAAAAGAACATCTACTTATAAATGTTGCAAAAATGAAAAAATTCAAAGTCAACCTGAGGTTATTGGCTAAGTGATGACTAATCAGCTATTAACAATGAGGTTGTGATTTTCAAATGTTGCTTGTGAAGATGTGTTCGAATCGTATCTAAATTGACTAGATTTACTGCCAAAGGGCGTTGGCAATTCTACATGTACTCCGATTGTATCGACCCAATGAATATGGGCGCCATGATATTTTAAGGAGTGTTGAAAGTGTCGTTTAAGAAAACTAACCGATCAATACAACGCCTACCTTATAATTCCATCTGATATTGAACATTTCTATCCTTTAGTGGCATCGTTAGATCAAATTAATCAAACGTTTGACATTGGCTTCCAGGTTAAATTCAATATTTGCACAAAGAGGAAAGAATAAGGTGTCTCAGAACTCTAGTGTATAAAAGTTCTTTAAGATGTTCTAATCAAATATGTAACACACTAAGTTCCATATAATTGTATGAATATCAAGATGACCTTTGATAATATATACGTCACCAAAAAACGTCACTTTTTGTGGCGTTGATCCATTTATGTGACGCGCAGTTTGTGGTGTCCTGTACTGTCATTAATTCATGGGAGATATCCGTTGTTATTCTGCGGTTTACATGTTGTAATGTACTATTAAATTATTTATTTATGTATTTCTCTGTGCTGAGCGTTCTTGTTTGTTTAACTGTATTCCTGTCACGTAGTATTGTCACTTTAGCGTGTTTTTTTTTAACTTTGCCATAGAAGCGAGAGGTTTGGCTAGCCATAAAACCAGGTTCAACCCACCATTTTTTCATAAAATGTCCTGTACCAAGTCTAGAATATGGTAGTTGTTATCAAATAGTCCGTTTCTATGTATGTTGGCGTTTGTTTTTGTTGAACTTCAGCGTTTCTGTTGTTTCGTTGTTTTCCTCTTATAGTTGATGTGTTTCCCTCGGTTTTAGTTTGTAACCTTGATTCGTTTTCTCTCAATCGATTGATGACTTTTGAACAGCGGTATACTACTGCTGCCTTTAAGATAACTTTTAAATATGGAAATTCTGCAAGTTTTGAAGAAAATAATACAAACACCTGAATGTACACTCGATATGGATACTACTATTATAACTAAACATCGCAATCGTTTCCACATAATTTCAATTGCTTCCTTTTTTTCTGCTTCCCTGCATATTGTGCTGTTACTGTAATGAAAGGTATATTGATTTTTTATTCTCTATTTTATTTGTGCCTGGATCTAAATTTTTGTATTATGATTTATAAAATAGACTACAAAGTATGGTAAACGTTACGATTTAGTCTGCTTGTCTCTTGTAGCGAGTGTAATAAATTAGCAGTGACAATAATGAAAACACTTATAAAATTCTAATGAAATATACCATGCAAAATATACACAGCAGGAAATAATTATTTGTTGAAGTGTCTAATTATCATTTTAATAGACCAAACATGTACAGGAAATTGTTTGTTTTTTAATTATACGAGGAAGTGTTTATTTTTCGGAATTTTATAATATGGAATGATTATAAACTATGCCAAACAAAATGCTAAATTGTAGGAAAGTTTTTTTCACATGTTTGATTGTTGTCTTATTCCTACGTAAGTACTGATTTGAAGCTTATTGATGATAATGCATTCGCTGTATTTGTTCGTGTTTTCCCAATTTTCGTTTAAACAACCAGTGTGTAATCAGTAAATGGAATCGATCCTTCAACTGAGAATGAGTGACAACACTCCTAAAGGATATAAAATCAAAAGTTTTTATATAATTGAAATATTATTAAAGGATTGCAAAGTGTATTTGTAGTAGCTTCTAAATGCATGACCGCACTGCTTTTATTAATTCAGTAAAATTATCAAATTAAATGTTAATATGGAAATCATTTCAACCCTAAATGACACATCATAATTGAAGTAACTACGCTTTTATCATCTTTAGAAGAAGTTGTCACGGGTTAGTATAGCATGTTATTATCAACATCAATAATTATTGCCCCAAGTTTT